CTCCTTCACCAACTTGTCCCCACTTGCTACCTGTTCTTTTAAACAAATGGGTACCGGGACCACGTCTTCTGTGGGACGCAGTCTCTAGGTCTCAGTGACAGGGCATGTGGAATACTGGTCATAGACATGTGGTTTTAAATGATTATATCCTGCCAACCTTCCAGCATTCACCAGAGTGCCTGGCTCAAGGCCCACTATTTAAGGCCACCTTAAAGTGTGTCCTTAGGGGTGCCTGGGTGGCTTAGTCGGTTAAGCGTCCGACTTTCGCTTGGGTCATGATCTCACGGTTCATGGGTTCGAGCCCCGCGTCGGGCTCTGTGCTGACTGCCAGCTCGGAGCCTGGAGCCTGTTTCAGTCTGTGTCTCCCTCTCTCTCTGATCCTCCCCTGCTCACGCTGTCTCTCTCTCTCTCTCCTAGGAATAAAAAAAAAAAAAAAAAAAAAGTGTGTCCTTAAATAGGACACCTTAAAGTGCAGGTGTCCTGCCTGGCTTCCGCACGGGAACCCAAAGCCATGGATGTGCTAGAGCAAACCCAAGGGACTGTGAAATTTACGACCTCTCTGGGACTGGAGCTCTCCTGAATACAGATTTGTACATCCATCTTTATTCATCGCTACCGTTTTTTTTTTTAAGCTCTTACAGTGGACATTAGTAAGCATTTTATACACATTTCTTATTCCACTCTCATGCTAACTGTGTGAGGTAGGTTAATTTTATTACCCCCATTTTCCAGGTGGGGAAACTGAGGGTTTAGATAGTCAATGAATTTGCCAAAGCACACAGCTGGTGAGCAGTGGAACACTTCAGAATTTTGCTGCTTTGCCCATTGGGGAAGCTCTTTATGTTACTAGCCTAACTGTTACTAACAGTTACTAACTCCCATTCCTGGATTCTGAGTGTGTCAGATCTGAACTTAAGAGTAGTCATGTGATGGATGGACACCCTGTACACACACCCCCCCCCATGGTCCCCAGCATTTGTCTGACAAGCTTCTGTCCCCACCTCTCCCTGGCAAGGCACAGCATTTCTTTTAGCACACAGTTAAGGGCTGGGAGTGGACACTGCTCCAGACTCCGAGAGTGTTTGTGGCCATTATGCCTCCCGCAGGGCCACTGGGGAGCATGAGCTAATTGTATTCACAAGTGGCATCTGGAATGTATCCAATTTTACTCGAATTCCGTGCTATTTATGAATGAACCTAACTTGGGAAATGGAGACCGAGATCTCAGCTGTTTAGCCAACAAACGCTTCCCAGGGGTTTGCCAAGCTCTGGCAAACTAGAGACACGATGGGTTCTTGTTCATTGCTACGTGGCTACCCTCATGGGAATCTTTGAAAGCTCCCCCTCAACCAAGAGGAACTGGGAAACGTTCTACGTTATGAATCCTTCCATAAATTGGATGTATCTGCTTGGAATTAGAAGAGGGCTTCCGAGAGTCCTGGAATCACTGTGTTTGGGTCTAGATGGGATGGGGACTGGAGGAGCCTCTGTTCTTTGCAGCTCTGGAGCGACTGGGGTTGGAGTACTTTTCAACCTGCTCATAGTATAAAGTAGGAAGCCTACTGCACATCTCTGAAGCAGACTGGGGAAACCGCATCATAAAAGAAATTTGGCAACTCGAGCCCACTTGGTAATAACAGCTATTTCAGGAGGAGAGGAAGGACAGGGACCCTGCTCTTGAGAAACAAACCAAAAAAGTAAGGCTCAAAGACCATGAAACCATGAAGAGGCGCTCATGCTCCAGCAGGAAGGGGGCCCAGGCTGGGCTGGTTTCAGGTTCCTCCTTGCTACATAGATAAATGGCCAAAGGAAACATTATCTAAGCAGTTTCACATCAAAGGCGACATGGCAAGCTGATCTTCCTTTTAATCTGGCCAATAACCAAGTGAGAATTAGATGATGTACGTGCTTAAGAAGAGAGCTCATGCCGTTCTGGAGTGGACTTTCCCATGCTCTCACTCCCAGCCGGCTCCGCTGCGGAGCAGGGGCTGTGTGAGGCATTCTGGGCGGCACCGGCAGCCCAGTGAGAGACCGCGGGCCTTGCAACCGCCCCACGAGGCCTCTGAACAATGTGTCGAGTACGCAGGACGGAAACCTGGGGAACAGCCAGAGCTGTGTGCGTCCCCCTGGCACCTAGCTTGAGGGCTGCACGTGTGGCCCGCCTCCAGGCAAGGAGGCCTCCCTGGAATCCCCAGGAATCCTATCCTAGAGAGTCAGGGCCTGCATGGTGGCCTTAAAGCTGAGTGAGAAATGACACATAACTGGTGTCCTACGGGCACTTTGTTACTATTTGTAGTTTAGAGCCGTGTGTGCGGCGTGACGCTTCAGAGCCACCGAAGAAACTGATCACTCGTGATGTTTCCTCCCCGCCCCGCATTGTGTGGTCCCACGGAGGAGGTGGAGGCCCACCGAGGTGAAGTGACTCACCCAGAGACACACACAACTTCCTGTAAAGGGACTTCAAGGGAGAGGGCTGCTGATCCCTTTTCTGATCCTTCCATGCAACGTGCTTTTCCCAATGCTGCGTTGCTAGTCGGCTGTCACTCTGGACTACCAACAAGAGGGCGTGGGAGAGGGTCTGCATGATCCTTCCATAAACTGGATGTATACGCCTGGTAAGGGTTATAGTCAGATAGCAAAGCAGCCGGCCCCCTGTGATGGGTCGTCCTGTTAGACTGGAAGCTTCACAAGGGTAGGAGCTGTGCCTGGCTGGCTCTGTCCTCCAGCATCCATGCCAACGCCTGGCATCATAACCATTTGTGGAGGGAAAGTGATGGAGGAGACGGGGGTAGTTTCTTAGGGTCAGGGGTCTGCAGGGTTGGCTCTTCCCCCATCAGATTAACCGCGACCCCTATAAACACAGACAGCACCTTGTGGAATGTGTATTTTCCAGCCTTATTCTGGCTGCACTCGTTTCCCACCGTTTTCTTCTTTTCATCCCATTTTTAATTCATGTGATTTTGTAGTTGTTTCTATTATTCCTGGTATATTTTAAGCTCTGTGATTGACCCTGTTCCATGTTTCAACCTCTACAGCGACGACACTACCATTTCCTTACCATCCAGGCTTGAAAATGTATTCATTCACTTTTTCTTCTTTCATATTCATTCACTGAGTTCTGGAGACTTCCCCACTGATTTGTTTCCTTCCTTTCCATCCCATGACCAAGCTGGGACCACACCACGCTCATCCCGTGACCAGTCTGCTTCTCTGAACCACTCGGCTCCCAACCAGCATGGTCTAACCACTGCCCTGTCGGTCTCCAGCCCCCAAACCACAAGGGACCCCATCTTCTATTACAGTACCTGGAGCTCTGGTTGAGCCCCAGGGTCCTCCGCAGTCTGAATGACAGCCATCTCCTCACAATCACATGGGCATGCCTCTGCCTCACCTCTGCACATTAATGCTTTTATCAAGGATGCTTTCTTCTCACTCCCCTGCCTACTGAAATTACATTCCTTCTCGAGCCCAGATCAAAGCCCACGTTTTCCGCTAGCTTCTCCCGGAGTGTCCTCTTCTCGTGGACATCTTTTTGTTTTATTGTACAGTCTAGAGTATTTACTCTTCTTGTTCTTTAGTCCCTACCTTATACTATTCTTGCCATTTACTATCTAAAATGTCACGAAAAAGAATGAGATCATCAATACAAAGGCACTGAGAGTGTTTTGGAGGAAAAGGTATGACGGAAATCTCAGGGGTTGACAGTGACAAAGACCATAGATACAGTGCTAATGACAAGGATTGAGTGTCTCTGTGTCAGTTTCCTTAGTGATGTTTGTAATGCTGTCTTCATTTGCCTTTATGTTGGTACCACAAAGGGATGAGGTTTGAGGAACTTTATGCTTTGAAGAACCATCAAATTATGTCTGTCTTATTCTGGATTCCTGTTATCTATAAACTCTACAATGCCAGCTTCCAGAGGACTTTTCAGTGATTACTCTATACCCATCTGGTTCTCATTTTCTTCCCGGTGGGTGAAGGTAATGAACATGAGGTAGATTCACAGGGAGCCCGCATCTTGTATTTCAGAATACACCCCAGTGCCCTGGGGACTAGCTCCCGGGCCTCAGTTTGCTCCTCTGAGGGATGAGATCTCCACAGTCAGAGAGCAACACAACTCTCTGAGTCTGATCCCCTTTGTGGCCAAGTCATCTGTTTTTGTTTTGTCTCACTTGAATAGGGCTCAGGTGGAGATTCTAAGCATTGGAAGGAGGGGACGTGCAGGTCTGACAAGTGGAAAGCACTCCCCAAAAGCTCAGCTCAGAATGGAGAGCAAACAAACTCTAGCTGGTAATACCATCACGATTTACAGCTTCCTTCTTGCAGCTGCCAAATACTGGCTCGGGTTGTCAGCTTTTGACTTTATTTCACCATGGTGAGTAAAGTAAAACCACTACCAAATGCCATCAGCAATGCGAGCTCTGTTGTGTAGCCTTGATGGTGAGGACGAGCCCTGACTCTCCTTTACGTTCTAGCTTTCATAGAGGCTCTTTTTTTTCCTTTTTTTTTTTAAATGATTAAAAAAATTTTTTAATGTTTATTTATTTTTGAGAGTGAGCGTGAACATGAGCAGCGGAGGAGCAGAGAGAGAAGGTGACACAGAATCTGAAGCAGGCTCCAGGCTCTGAGCTGTCAGCACAGAGCCCAACATGTGGCTTGAACCCATGAACTGCAAGATCATGACCTGAGCTGAAGTCAAGACGCTTCAGGAGCAACCCAGAAGCCCCTCATGGAGGCTTTTTGGAATGAAATCATTTCCTAGGTTTAATACATGATTATACTTGTTTCCACACAAAAATGTATGTATACACCAAGTTTAAATTGTGCAGAAAACAAGCGTCTTATTTACTTTACTGTATTCTGTAAAAATACTTGCCCAGACTTCTGGTCAGTGCCCATAGAAAACAGTCCAGCTGAATACCCCAGCCGCTGAGAGGAGGACCCAAGTGTACTCAGTATGACACTAAGATTTATAAACACAGCCAAATAACCCCAAGGAGTACACAATATAAATGCTTTATTGCTAGCACAGAGGTTTCTTTTAAAGTAAATTAAAAGAAATAAATCTTCATTTTCACATTCTATACTGCAGTTGAAAGGTAACTAGCTGGTTAATGGGTATGTTCACTTGGACACAAGCTATAAGGAGAGCACGACAGTCACATGGAAGAGCTCAGAGATGCGGCATCTCTGAAGGCATCGGGCCACTGAATGCACTGCCGTTCGTAAATAACAGCAAAGAGGGATTTCTTTTAAACATCGTGAATAGACAAGACTTATAAATAGAAAACCGGTATGGTTAGAAAGCAGAAACCCATTAAATACAGAAGGCTATATATGTGTTGTCCATATTCCATGTACTCTAGGTTAGGTTTGGTACTTTTAAATAAATGATCTCCATCCAGTTTACAGACCAGACTGGTTTCAGCAGCCGGAAAAGGGGAAGGAGGAAAGAAAGGTGACGCTGCCCATCAACCGAGTAGATGCACTGGAAAGCAGGAGAGGAGCGTGTGACTGGAGGGGAGGGAGGGCCACCGCTTCATGCCTCGCCGTCCGGAAGCTCCTGGGGAGGTGGAGGGGGGCATCACTGAGTGGACATGGACGAGCTGCTGCGCGTGTCCGGGGAGGTCTGGTGGAGCATGGCAATAGTGGCACTCTGCCAGTCTGTGAGCAAACACGAAACCTGCAGGCTTGGTCAGGTTTTCCAAGGTTACTGCCAGTGGATTTAGGGCACAGCAGGCCAGAGTAACAGCCAGAGCACTGGGAGTAGCAGTGCTGGGGCAGTGGGGGCCGGGAGACAGAAGCTGAAGACTCTAACTGCAGAGATAGTTCACTTAAATAAGAATTGTCAGCCAGTACTGAAAATAAAATTATTTCTGCAAGGCCCCAGCATTACCTTTTACCAAATTCTTGAGCCTATGCAATTCGTTTCTGAGTCGATTATTAAGATAAGCCTTGGAAAAAGATCTTACCAATCTAAGAAAAACAACCCACCCCCTGCCTTATTCCAGAATCACCCAGGAGGAGGTAAACACACACACGCACCCACACGCCTTAAAGCCAAGCAGCCAGCTCAGAAGCTGTGAACTACATAGGATGACCTCCCATCTCTATCTTCCTGATCTTTCGCTCATGTGATTTATGGATGTAAGAAGCCAAGCTGGGTCAGGGACGTCCCCAGTTCTTCTCGATACATCTGCAGTGTACCAGCTCGTGGCATTTTCAGTTGGGTCTGGCTCTAACTAAAACCATTTCATGTTTTGCTTTGAAGAAGTGGATAACATGAAATGGTAATTTGGCTGCAGAACCTTGGAAAATTGTTCCTGGCCCAAACATCTGCCCCAAATGAGCTCAGCTGAGATCGCCTTGGAGGGGTGGGAGGGCTGGGTGAGCTGAGAGCGCCTGGAAGGGGGAAAATGAAGACAATATAAGGATGACCTTCCCTCAGGAGGAAAGTTCTCTGTGACCAAAGGCTTCAGCCCATCTCTCTGGGATGTCCCTGACAGCTACTCCTCCTCTCGCCCTTTCCCCAGTATTTGGTATCATTCAGGTGAGCCCTTACATAAGAGTGCCAGGAAACGGTGCCCACATGCTCTGCTTTCGTTATGCACTGACTGGCTGGGCCTACTTGTCATTACTTCACTTTAAATAAGGACTGAGTATGAGCTTTGGATTCCTGAGAGCCGGGCCCCCCAGGGAGAGTGGAGAGGGAAAGTCCTGCGGGCTGGCCTCCACCTTCCCCCTTGGCCTTCTTAAGAGTTCTTCTGAGGGATCTTTACTGTCACCGTCTTCACCTCGGAGTACTCCCGCAAGCCGAACTCCCCCCTGAAAGGCAGAAATACGCAGCATCAGACACCAGAGGGCTGGGCAGCCCGACCTCAGGGACCGCAGGAGTCCCGAAAAGGGGAAGTTTATCCCCTGCTAACAAGCAGGCCCTGGGTTTCCATGTAGAAATGTCTGATGAGCAGACAGCCCAGCTCTCCACTGAGGAGCACAGAGAGCTCTCATATCATGAGCACTGACCATTTCTTAAAGGCAAAGGCTGATTTGTCTTCACAATATCGCACAGAACGGCGCAGCGCTGCCAATGCGGAGAAACAGGCACATGGGTTCGCCTGGGCCAGCGGTCACACAGGCCTAACTGTGCCCTGGATGGGCACCATGGACAGCAGTGGACCAGGCCCAGGTCTCTGCTGCCGCATCTCTACCACAGGCTCCCAGGGACGATGTGTGCCTTCCTCCTCTAAAATCCGCTCCTGCCACTGGACACCCCCTGATGCGTCTGTTTTCTAGCTGTGCCCCTAGAGATCTAGTCCACCTTAGCTGAAAGAAAAGCATGACTCTTGAATTGTGAGAACAAACTGAGGGCTGATGGGGGTGGGGGAGAGGGGAAGCGGGGTGAAGGGCATGGAGGAGGGTACTTGGGACGAGCACTGGGTGTTATACGGAAACCAACTTGACAATAAACTATGAAAGAAAGGAAAGGGAAAGAAAGGAAAGGGAAAGAAAGAAAGGAAAGAAGGAAGGAAGGAAGGAAGGAAGGAAGGAAGGAAGGAAGGAAAGAAAGAAAGAAAGAAAGAAAGAAAGAAAGAAAGAAAGAAAGAAAGAAAGAAAGAAGGAAAAGAAAGGAAAGAAAAGAAAGAAAGAAAGAAGGAAAGAAAGAAAGAAGGAAAGAGAGAAAGAAAGAAAGAAAGAAAGAAAGAAAGAAAGAAAGAAAGAAAGAAAGAAAGAAAGAAAGAGAAAAGCATGAGATTTCCGGGCTGGGATCCCCTCTGTTTGATGTTCTACATTCCTTAGACTTAACAAATGGTAATGAAGATGCAAAGGCTTTCCAGGGAAGAGCACGGTACACCCAGAATGCTTAAAAACAATCCTAATGCAAGCTGCCCACCACATCCCCACAGTTAAGGGGAGAGAGGTAGGAAACCAAAATAAGGGACAGAAAAGGAAGTGGTAGTCAGCTGGTCCCCCAAGACTCCGAGTAAATGTTTACGGACTGGGAGCTGGGACACCTGTCTTGGTGGGGACAGGAGACACCGCCCTTCCCAGTGCTCTGGCCACTCAGCGTGGGTATCCAACTACTGTCCTCAGGGTGCTGGGGTGCGGCCAAGCCTTGCTGCCTAGGCATTCCTTCTCTTCACCGCTCTGTATTCCCTTCTCATTTCACCTCATTGTCACGGCCCTTTTCCCTCTGTCTTTATTTCATCGTAAAATCAAGTACACTCTTATTTCTGTGAAAAAGTTGGACTTTTTTTTCCTATTTTTTTTTTCAAGTTACATCTCTGTGAAGCTTCTCCTGGCTCTCCCACAGGAGCTCCTCCTTCCTTGGTGCTCACCTTGTGCCCACCGCTACAAGAGCCCTGACACCAGGCGAGGGGCCACCTGAGCACCTGTCCCCTCCCAGGGAGTTGTAGCTTACTGATCCTGCTTTCTGCCCTCTGCCAAGCCTAGCATACAGCCTACAGGCTCAAAGACAGCACTTGTGGAAAGGAGGAAGGGAGGGAGAGCTTTTTCCCATCCCCCTTCCCCAGTTCCACCAGGTTGATATACCTCTCTACTAGGAAAAAATAAAACACTTAGAGATGTATTTGAGTAAGAAAATAATAAAGGCTATCTTTAAGAAACAGCCATGTATACAAGATACATTACAGCAACTGGGCTTTACAATCAAGATCTGCTGTCAACGATTCATTCTGCTTCCTTACAGGAATTCCCATGCCCTGCACAAGGATCTCATCGCTTTGCCAGCAGCAACTCCCCAGCACCAAGGTCACCTGAGTTGTCACGGTGCCCCCTCCCTGCCAGGACATCAGAGGCAGCTAAGGAGAGGCCAGGACATGTGTGCTGTTCTCTTATCTGCATTGGCCATCTTGCTTACAGGAATGAGAATAAATCTGGGATTGTCCCACTCAGTATAAGGTTCCCTCATTAGCTCCTTCCAGGCCCAGAGTCTTAATGACCAGCTCAGCTCTGGCTCCTTCTAGACTTTTTCCTGCCCTTGGGCAATTCTCAAAGTGTCTCTTCATCAGGGACATCATCTGCCTCCTGTTTGAAGTGAGGTTACTCCCTTCTTGTTTCCTGACTTGTGCACGCACATGGGGCAGACCCTGAACCAGTTGCCTCCCCCTCAGATCTCTAAGTAGGTTGTGAGAAATGTAAGAAACTCTCCAGACTCAGAAGCGTGCTGGTATGATTGCCTTCGAGTGAGGCTGCTGGGTCCTGTAATGTTTGGGTGCGTGAGGCCACAGAAAATTGTTCCAGACTGGAGGAGGTCCCTGACAGCCCTCTGCCACCGTGATCCACACGCAGCCCACTCCGAGAATGAGGAGTGGGCTCGAATCTGCCAGAACACTACGCTGGAGCCGGGGGTCGGCAGGTGGGAATGCCAGCTCTTTAAGCAGCCCTATGATTCCAGGTGAGCGGCTCCCATCCTCCTGGTGACCCGTCACCACACAGGCAGCAGTTCCTGAGTCCCAGGAATCAAAGATCACCTTTGGAGCTTGCTTTCTTATAGATTCCTGACCATCCCCACCAAAGCTGCTGTCTCAGCAGGTCTGGGGAAAAGCCCAAGAGATTATGCTGCAGGTGGTTACTTGGGCCACCCTTTGAGAAACACTCATAAAGGCTCTGAGAGCCCTCAAGTTTCTCAGAGCTATTTGACCATCTCATTCGGGAGTCTTTCTCTCAAATTTACTTAATCCAGTTAAGTTCTGTGCACACAGCGTTCCACAGTTAAGGAAGCTTCAACCGCCCAACAAAGCAAAGGCAGACACATTGGCATTGGTCTCTCCGTATGGTCACCTTCACGGCTCCACAGTGTCAGGGCTCAGGCACACTTAGACACCTGTATTCCTGCTTCTGAGCCAGATGACGCTAGATTTCCTAACATGAACCAAACTTGACCTACCTACAGGTAAGTTAAGGTGTTAGATTTTGGGATCTCTCAGCCAGGCATTTTAGAAAATCACTTCTAAAACAAAGAGGACTTTCTGTTTAGAATGTAAACTTCCCTGCTCTTTTCCTTCCTACAGCAGCATTGTTCAGAGTAAGGTCTCCAGACTGCCTGCATCAGAATCATCCCAGAAGCCTATGAACAATGCAGACCCTCAGCTCTGGCCCAGAGTTACTAGAGAGCAGGTCCCCACACAGGCATGCCCAGCAAGCCCCTTCTCCCAGACCACAGGTGACTTTCGGCACACATGCATGCTAGGCATGTACATATGTGCACACACGTATGCTATGATGCAAACTTGGGAAACCCTGATTTAGAATATCCTAATAATGCTTCTTATCGTCAAAGCCTGTGTCCTTAGTTTTTAAAATGCTGAGGCTCACAGCTTTCCTCCCACTGCCCCCCCTCCCCTCCAGTTTGTGCACATGTATTTTATAGCTTGTCTCAGGGAAGCTAAAATGAGTAAGGGAGAGGGCGGGAAGAATGAAAGGGGTGGTGTGGGGAGGGTGGCTACAGGCCAGAACCGAGGTGAGCTCAGTCCCCTCTCTGGCCCTGGGATCCAGGGGCCTGCCCATCAGGTAACCTGTAGAGGGCAGTCCTCCACAGCTCTCTGGGGTTAGAAGGGGGCGACCTCAGGGGCTCCCAGAACCCTCCTTGAAGTTTGTCTCCGGAAAGTGCTATTTCTCTTCTCCATGGCTCTTAGAGGTGGGCAAGGAGGTGACAGGGACCAGAGCCGCAAGGAGTTTGCAAGGCCATGAGATAAACACTACTCTCCAAGGAAGGTAAATGAAGTTTCTGGGACTGCAGTAAGTGAAAAGGAAGAGTGGTGGGTCAGGAGAGGGCAGGTTCTTCTATTTGAAGCCTTTGTGACCACTCTAGGTCATGTAAAGAAAGAAAAACAAACAAACAAACAAACAAACAAACAAACAAACAAACAGGTTTTGGGAGCAAGTAGGGACAAAGAATCATATAATTTAGACAAGATGAAGGGAGTCTCATCAAAGAGCACTGTTTCCTAATTATTTTTTAACTGCACTGGGAAGGCCCAATCACTATAGCACCAGTGAGACAAGTCAAGAAAGGCTGCTTTTCAGTCTCTTGGGGCATGATTCTGTGTGGTTCTGACCTGGACAATGTCACAAGCCTGAATCTTGCCCAAGATGAGGGTCCAGGGCTAGTCTGGGACAGGCTCCATCAGCCAGCTATTTATTATATTTTATGCCCATGATTCACTCTCTTAATGATCTGTGGCAAACCAGAGCCAGTGAGTGCCCTGACATTTCAGAGGCCTAGAAAGCACAAACACAGAAGCAGGACATGAAGTGACAAGCTGAATACATCTTGAGAAGTGGAGGCAGAATGTTAAGGCCATATACAAGGTAAGAAGAGATACCTGGAGAACATGAAGACTTTATAAAAGCTGAAACAATACTAATAACTGAGCAAAGAGGATCCAGATGGGTTCTGGGTGCTGGCTGTAAAGCAAGCGGGAAGTACTGATGGCCAGAAGCAAGGTTTGAGCAGGAGCCATCTGTCCCTTGCATTCCCAGAGATAGAGCAGAAGCTGGTTGAGACTAGCTGGGATTCAGAAAATGTTCTGCCACACTTCCAAAGTAAGATATTTGTTAAGAAAAAGAAGGATCGTCTACCTAACACTCATCTACTTGACCAACAGTGATGATAGCAGCTAACATTTCTGAAGGTCTGGATGTCTGGGATACTCAATCCTACCCATTTAATCCTCACAGCAACCTTTCAGGGTAGGTGTGGTAATTACTCCTATTTTACAGATGAGGAAACAGAGGCTTAGTGAGATTAAATGATTTGTCCAAGGTTGCACAGGTGTTAAGTGGTAGAGCCAGGATCCATCCCTGAAGCAATGTGATACCAGAAAGTTTACTCTTCTCAAAGCTATGCCTGACTTACAGTGGAATGGCCAAGGGCTAGAAATGACCAGATCAAGTATCTGAAGCATGTAAATCCTCTGTGCTGATCTCATGACTTCACTGTACTTCGTCCCAAACACCATACTTCTTTCTCCCCCAGTGCCCCTACTCACTCTCTCCCCACTGACCCTTGCTTTGCCCACCAACCCTACAAACATACTCTCCTCTCTGTCCAGCCAAATGTTCCTCTCCTTTAAAGGCCAATTCAAGTACTCATATTCGATGATAAAGGTTTTCCAGACTTCTAGAGTTTCACAAGGATCTCCCCTCATCCCTGAATTCCACTATTACTTTACGGTCTTTTCTGGAATTCTTTGGATTCTTTCAATGTTGTAGATTTCATTTATCCGGCAAAATTTCAAGTGCCTTAATGAGGTGCATCCTTCCCCACAGGCCAAGCACAATGCTTTGCACATAGTGTATGGCTCAATACTTTTAGTAGGTTGATCATGGACTAGCATTTACTCACAAAAAGATGCATTTAATAGTGGTGGAGGGGAATGGACATGGAAGATGTCTCCTCTTATGAATCACAGGATTTAAAAAACATGGAATCAGCTCCTTTCAAAAGGAGGGAAAAAATTTTTTTTGGAGGGGAGGAGGGGATGTATCAGCTCAGGAAGACCCTGGCTATCCTTCACCCCTGGAATGCTGCTCAAAAAATCCATTTATAGGGGCACCTGGGTGGCTTAGTTGGTTGAGTGTCCGACTTTAGATCAGGTCATGATCTCAGAGTTCATGAGTTCAAGCTCTGCATCAGGCTCACTGCTGTCAACACAGAGCCTGCTTCGGGGATCCTCTGTCCCCTACCTCTCTGTCCCTCCCCTGCTCACACTCTCAAAAATAAATAAATCCATTTATATATGAAGGTTGCAAATAAAATCCCCTTGAGTGCAGCTTTCCTTTGCTACAGTCCCATTTTTCAGGTCCTTTGCTTTTCAGGAGGACTCTTCCCAGCTCTGATCCGATCCCTGAAGACCATCTGCACCTGGCCTGCCTGCTTCCTTGCCTGGATACCACAGAAGCCACTTGAAACTTACGTTCAAACCTCACGTCTGCCACTTACTGGCTGTGTGACTGACCTGGGAAAGCTGCTTAACTACTGTAAGCCTGAGTTGCCCGTCTGAACCATGTGGGATGTGAGGGGAAGTGTATCACTCCCATTTCATCATCATGAAAATCGAATGACACAATATCAGGAAAGAAGCTACCATAAAACCATATACAGAGCAGGCATTTAATTAATGATATCGGTCATGGTTATTATAAAATCCTTGTAACCGGTCTCCTTCCTCTACTCTTTGCCAGAACATCCTCTATATGCCAGGTATCTTGGCCTGAAGACCTCTGATATCTCCTTAGCTCCCACAGAACACTTAAGCCCTCTGAGACTGGGTTTAAGCCAACCTTCCCACTAGTGTCTTCAGCAAGCGCTCTCCAGTCATCTTATGTCCAAACCCCTAGATCCCAGACTCAGAGATATCTACAGAGGCCGAGCGGGTGACACAACCAGTGGCCTGGGTATGTGTAAAATGACTGGCAACCAGTATTCAGCCCCCAGAAGCCACAGGAGTGGTGGGGAAGGAGACGGATTCCAGAACTCACAGCTGCAGTGATTTTGCTATGGGGGAATGAAAATAAGCAAGAAATCTAGATTTTATGGAGAGCCTCTTCATTTTTGAATGCCAGTTAAATATTTTAAAATGTTGTGAGGCAAAACAAAACATTTCTGCAGGCCAGATTTGCCCTTGGGCTGGCAGTTGGTGACCTTTGTTTCGAACACACCAAACTCCCAGACGCTCTGCATTTGCTGTGCCTTCGTGCCTTTGTCCCTGATACTCCCTCAGCACGGGAGGACTGCCCCCCCCCAAAACTGAAATGTTATTTGTTCTGTGAAGGCTTCTCTGACCCCATCAGGCAAAATTAATGGATTCTTTCCTCAGTACTTGCAAGATGTGTGACTAACTTCTATTAATAAAACAGCCCTTATTATATGAAGTAGATGGTGCATTAATTTTTCTCCACTCCCACTTAAGGTAAGGGAGCTGTGTTCTAGTCATCTTTGTGCATGCAGTACAGTGCTTAACTCATAGAAGTAAGTGCTCAACAAAATGTTTGTTTAATGAATGGATGAGAGTAAGAGAAAGAAACAATTTTGTGACTACTCCTCTGTGCTGATATTTGTAATCCCTATTTCTCTGCAGGCATCAGCAACTTTGGACACTTACATTTCTCTCCCATTTCCAGACATCTTGAATCCCCCAAAGGGGCTCTGGGCATTTAAGGCATTGTAACAATTGATCCTAAGAGAAGAAAACATATTACCATTAGTGCTGAATTCTGCTTGCACAGAAATAGTACCACTAGCATAGTACTTCCTTTAAAAGTTTTATTTTTTTAATTCCCTTTTTTTGCAAATGTAACATCTGTAATTTAAATTTGCTGTGATTTCCCCACCTGGCCAGGAAGGAGTGTATATCTGTCCTCAGGGTGGAGTCTGCTTGCCTTTGGTCTTCCCCACCCTTCCCAGAGAACGTGCTTATTTCACCCGGGGTCTGGAGATAACGAGGCCCGGCCCGAGCACCACCACTGGCATGCATTTCAGCCAGGACAATGATGCTGACTTGATCTTACCAAACAGTCCCTGCCTGCATTGCGGAAGACACCATGAGGGCCTTGTTGATGTCATTAGTGAAGACAGCTGCCACAAGTCCAAAATCTGAGTTATTGGCTCTTTCAATAACTTCATCCATAGTCTTAAACCTCAGAATCTCCTGAACAGGGCCAAAGATCTGCAACAAAACAGTTTGACACAACGTAAGACTGCTTTGCCATCCCCTTACCTGCTTTCCACATTGCAAAGCAAGTCTGCTCTGCTGTCATTATTTAAACTTCATATCAGGTTAGCGTCACAGAACTGTAAACTATCCCAAACTTTGGCAGAATAGGATTTTACATGCGTCTAACCTTAAAGTTTGCTCAGGACCCCGATCCCTCCACCCTGGCATCACTCATTCTGCTATATGTACTAAAGCTGCCTTCTCCATGATTCCCTGGGCCCTGCTCCAGATCTCAGAACTACTGGTCTGGACTGGTGGCTGATGTGTCCGGGTCCCTCTCCCGCAAGAATGTGAGGATGTTTGGGTGCCTTCTCTCTCCTAGTGAACAGTTTAGTAACCCACATTTGAAGGAACGGACCTGATGCAAGTGAATTACTAAGGCCAATGATGGGCTGGGGTGACTATCCTCTGGGCTAATAATAATTGCAATCATTTGGCAGGTCACCTGGCCTCCATCTAGCTTGCTTGCCTTTTCATTTAACATTCTTTTGAAAGTGGGATTTTTCACAGCCATGTCTATCGCTGTTACAGAATGTATATATAATATAAAGAGCCAAAGCTATAATATCATATACTAGAGTACTCTGTAAACCATTGCAAAAAGCTGTGGCTTTTGTCAGAACTCCACATTTGATACCTCTTCCTTGGCAATCCGCATGTCATCGGTCACATTGGAGAACACCGTGGGCTCAATGAAGAATCCCTTTCGGCCCAGCCCTTTGCCTCCACACTCCAGCTTGGCACCCTCAGCCACACCACTCTGGATGAGTTCCAGGATCTTGTTGTACTGTTTCTTATCAATCTACAAGAGAAATTTCCCAATGACTCCGTGTAAAGTGCGTTCTCAAGAATCTCTCATTTGTGTTTTTTTTCAAAGCTCCATCATATCTAGTCACATCACATGGAACTGCTCTCATTTATCCATTCTTCACCTACAAAACATGGTGACTCTGTGTGATTCAACCCAGCATGCTGGGAATTCCAATACAGGTACTGCATTAATGACATTACCAAATCACAACTACCACATTTAGGCCATGTCTCTAAATGATAGAGAAACTGGCTAATTGATTAGTCATTGTTTACAAATGGGGGAAAACTGCCCTCTATAACCAAATGAACAGTTTAGCAAGTTGCACTGATACTAAAAAGGTGAAAACAATAGGTGAGCTATATGGTGTTACACATCAGATTCTACTGGGGTCTATTTTTAATGCAACTCTTATTACACTCGAAGAGGAAAGGATCAAACATGAAGAGTGAGGACTGGCTTTCTATTCCATAAAATAAAATCAGTCTTGCCCCCCAAAAGTCATAGTTATCACTCAATTATTATGGTAAAAAAACTAAATTCACTTGGGTTTGAATTGCTCATCAATCATCTTTCAAATGGTCCCCGAACTTAGGTGATGTTGTTTCTTACCGGGAAGACCCATACTCTAGAGATGTGGGTGCAATCTGGTCCAAACAATCTTGACAAATTCTCAAGCTCTATCTACAATTTAAAACCAGAATCCTATCTGGAAATAAGCCTTGATGATTCTGGAGAAGCTGCAGAGCCATACAGTGTGGACTTCAGGGACTTCTGCAGCCCTCTCTTCTCTCCCCTCCCCACCATCCCACCATACAAAGTATTCAGGGTAAGAGATAACCATATAGCAGAGCAGAAAGGAGATAGCCCTCATTTCTTATACATTTACAAGCCACAAGTGAACTCCCCAAAGTAGGCCAGGTTGGTGGAGAGATTCCCTGACCAATGAAGAAGGATAAGTGGCTTCTAGGAAAGAAAGATGCCCACTCTCTCTGACTATGGCATTTGTAAGGGGGGTCTTGAAGGTCAGTGATTACCACCGGGACTGAGTTCTCAAGGTCAACATCCATCTTGACATGCACAGGTCTTTCTTTAGAGCTAAGACACTCCAATTTACCCCCAAAGTTCAAAGTATCCTTTTTTTTTAGTATATGTGCTGCCGAAGTGAGCACAGTTCAAAGTATCCTTAAAGCAACTCTAACCCCTTAGTGTTTCAGAGATAAAATTTAGAAAGGAAAAGGGAAGCATGAGGAATAAGAATGCCTCACAAGCTACATTTCTAGCCATGCAGACAAGGTGCAAGAGTAACGAGGAAGTGGAAAAAAGAAGTTTCTGGAGTCCCACTAGAGTGTCCAGTGCTCGCCAAGGATGAAGGAAGCAGATGTTTATTATTTCTCTACCTGGGGTCCCTGCTCAGTGGTGGGATCAAAGGGACTCCCCACTATGCGCCTCTTGGCCCGCTCCACACTTCTTCTCACAAACTCCTCATAGATGGACTCCTCCACAAAGATGCGAGACCCCGCGGTGCAGCACTGGCCTTGGTTGAAGAACACCCCCTGGTGAGCCTGCTCCACAGCATAGTCCACTGCAAGAGGAAAACAGCCAGATCCTCAGTACTCATTCATCTGCAGTGGGGCCTGTCTATGGGGCCACCTCCCTTCCCTCTCCCAGAGCCCCAGGTATAATGCCATGCTCAGCGCAGAGGGTACGGTGAGTAGGTAGCGCCGGGGAGAGCATGGATAGAGAATGCAGCTTAGGTCAACTTCTAACTAGACTCTGACATTCCTTGCTATGTGGACTTGGACAACTTCACTTCTTTGAGCCTCTTTCTTCTTCTGTAAAGAGGGACTGGACCATGTCATCTAGAACAGGGGTCTCAAACCCCAGTATGTCAAGGGGCTAGGCAGGTAACAGAATGGCCAGCTACTGAAACAATCTGATGGAGGCTCAGAAGGAAAGCTGCTGCATTTGGCTCTTGCTCTGCGTGAATGTAAGCTGCTGGTTGCCAGACAGCCAATTTTAAGAAAAAACAGAAATCGGGATTTCTAATGTGCAGTTTTTAATTTTTCAGGTGCCTGTGTGACATTTAGACAGGTAAATGTACATATGCCCTGCATCTGGTCTATGGACTGCCAACATGCAGCCTTACCCTACAGGAACCTGTAGCTGTGTGCTTCATTTGTACTTTGGTGAATTAATAAGCTAGAACAGAAACTGATCTTCTGGAAGTCACCAACTTTCCTCTATATTTACATGGGACTGTGTAACGGCATATAAGTTTTTCATGTCGTAGTGCATACTTCAAGGTAGGACTAGTAAGTCTGGTGTGTGCTAGTTGCCAAGTGATTGAATCAGTCACTCATTCATCAGTCAACCAATCACGTCAATGGAGGGCCCACTCCCCAAGAGAAATGTAGGTGTGAGAGTTCTGGTCCCACTGACAACCAGCTGAACTCTCCGTGGACTCCAAGCTGGGCTGAGAGTCAGGCAAACCACTTTCTGATCTCTCCAGTGGTGAAAGGGAAAGCAGCTGTGCCTGGCAGGATAGGAAGAAGAAAAAGAAAGACTGAAAGAGACTTTGGAACGGTATTCCCTGGCAAGCTTTTAGAAACAGAAAGGCCCCATCTTGGCAGGATGGACTGGACACATGGGATTTCCTCGGTTTGCTGCTCCATGCCACCACAGAGTCCCACCTCCAGCACCTCTGCTGTAGGTCCAATCATACGGGACTGACCCACGTATGTTGTCATTCTGGCTGAAGGTCACAGAAGCAGCAGAGGATGGGGGCACCAAACAGAGAAGGGGTTGTGGGCTGGGGAAAATGTTGGCAGGCCTAGCAAGGCAGCATTTTTTAATGACCTATCTGCAAAGCCCCCAGGTACAGTTGAGAAGTTTTAGATTTCTTGAACCTAGGCAGAGAGAGTCTATTTCAGCTGTTCAGAGGCTTCGAGCACTGCTCTTGCCACTACACAGCCCTGAGCAGGCCTCTGCCTCTTCCACCCAACTCCTGGCATCACAGACTCAAAGCAGCTCATTAGTGTCTAGAAAACAAACTCAGTTCGGCTGTCAACTGACAAGTGCTCTTTCCCAATACTAGACTATGTGCTCCTTAGAAGGAAGGGCCCAGATTCTTCTACTTAAGTGCCCCTTAGCTTCATGGATCTTTTCCTTAGTGTCCTGTCAAAAGTGGAGATTACAAAAGAGGGCACCGGAGGGCAGTGTGTTGGCACATGTATGAGATCTATGGTTGACTTACAATCAGCATCAGCAAAAATAATATTGGGGCTTTTTCCTCCAAGTTCCAGCGTTACTCGCTTCAAGTTACTTCTTCCAGCTGCTTCTTGGATAAGCTTTCCAACCTGAAAGAAAGGAAACGGAGGGAGGTTTTGCACACCTTGCAGCTGAGACAGTCAGTGGCCAAAGCCAACTCTGGGCAACAGTGGGAGGCAGCAGTAATAGAACCTGCAAGGCAAACCAACTCAGGGGACGAGGCAGGAATAGCTCCTGTGGTCAAGCTGGGTGGACAAGATAAAAGTCAGCGGGGATGCAGTTTGTCTGGGCTAAAGTGAGTTGGAAGACTGCTTTAGTTTCATAATGGAAGGAGCTTGGAAAAGGGGTTTAATCTGAAATCTTAATCACTGGTCTCAAAAAAAAAAAAAAGTCAACCAACTCCAAATGAAAGACATGATACATGAATATAAAACAAAATCTTCATGTATTTACAAAAATGTCACGTAGGACTTTAATCACATGGCTCAATGAAAATATAGATGCTACACCTTTGCCTCTGCCTAGGTCTATAGTAAAAGGATTCCAGGTAGCTGAAGATCTGTCTATACCGTGCAATGCCTATTTACCTAGAAGCCAAGCAAACAATAGGCTGAGTCAGAGATCTCATTTACCATGGTGTGAACTCACATTTCTAATGAAACTGCAAGTATCGAAATGGAAACAGAGGAAGAACACACTGCCTCAGTGGTAGAAATTCTGTCAACTCTTTCAGAGTCTGCCTCTGAAAATGAACTTTCACTTGGAGCAAACCTAACCATGGGGGGAAAACAGCGATGTCTCTGAAAGAGCTAGAATTGATGTTTCTTAGTTTGCAGACAATGCTAGTTTCCAAGTTTCCAAGGGTCAAGAAATACTAACATCCGGGCCTACAGATTAACGGGTGGGCAATCCGCTCACCAGACAGATGGCCCCTCCCCTGCCCTGCCAGCTTGTCTGCCTTCTACCTCAAGGTAAACTCCTGAGAAGACAGGCTAATAAAGGCCCTGTTCTCAAGCTAATGTGCTTTCTCTCCTTCAGGAAAAAAACACATGTACACAGTGGAAAAGGAGAATCCGGCCCTCTGTCCTGGCAAGAGGACAGCGGTCAGGTGAAAATTATGACTGAAGCCTGAGGTCCCTAGCATGGGAAGGGGAGCCTTCAGAGCAAGGGCAGCTGGGACAACAGCGCCACGGGGAGTCCCTGACGGCTGTCCTCTGTGACTGCCTGTTCTGCTGAGGAATTCTAGGGTTCTTGGCGCTCTCTGCCCTGAGGAATCCATATTGATGGTGACTTGTCTTTAAGTCCAAGAAGATAAACAGACAAGTGCTTTCTCAAAGAAGGCAATCATTGGAATGCCTGAACTTATTATTAATTACATTAGAAAACTAACATTTAATGAGCTGATCTGTGTCACACATTTGTAAGTATTAGCTCATTTAAGTCTCTCAAAAACCCTACATAAGTAGGTACTATTTCGTTTTAGAGACGACCAAACTTAGGAGTTGGAAGTCAATGGGTGTTGCCATGTTACCCAGTCAGAGCCTATCAGAATCCCAGGTAGACTGACGCCAGGGCACAAGCGTGGACCACTCCTTCTATGCGCCTCTCTCTCAACTTCCCGTCTTCCTTTCTGTATTTACTGAGCACCTAATGTGTGCCACACACCACCACGACCTTGTTCCTGAACTCCTAACTGTATCAAGGTGAGTACAAATATCACCTTTTATAGATACAAATGATGATCATAAGCCATCAGTTGCAAAACCTCTATTTTGCCTTCAGATTGACATTAAAAACCAAGCAAACGCAAGGGGGAAATCACAGGTTTCACACAGAGTAAGATGCTGGATAAATGTTTGGGGTTGGTAAAGGGAGTGTGGGCCCAGCTGGCATTGCATTTCTGTTAGCACTACTCCCTGACACTAATCAAAAAGTTCTAGGGGCTGGTGTTTTTTGCCACTAGGAATGTTGTCCAGTGATTATTTTCATGGCTACAGTAACTATACAAAAACCTTGCTCAGTCTATGGTCATCGGAGGATACCTAAGAATAATTTTTCCTGTGTCAGTGCTTTGCCAGCCTTTCCTTAGAAACCAAATTTGTGCTAAACATTGTGAGGCAAATCTCAGATGAATAATGCCTCTCCTCTTCATCTTTGGAAGGTCAGTTGCACCTCAGCGTCAAGAAACAACTGAATGTGTTAGGCTGCAGGAGAACCACTCCCGTCTGGAGGGGCCTCCGGACAGGACACGGAGATCTGTTTTTACTGATCCCCTTCATTCAACACACATATTCCTGGCTCTCCAATGCCATGCCGGGTGCAATGCTGGGCACAGCCCTGTACCAGGAAGGACCTCACAGCTAAGAGGACTCCCATATAAACCTAGTAGGTGCTCACTAAGTGCAGCTTTGCAGTCCACTGGGACAAAAATCTGGGTCAAATTTAATATTAGATCTGAGTGGACGGAATTATGGTTCTGAGATACTTTGTTATAAGCCAGAGTCAGAGCTCTCTGGTCTTTATCCACAGACTAGGGCTTTGGAGAATACATTATTACTCATGAATTCTCTCCGTAAGTGGACAGAGATTAAATGACCCCAAAGGGAGGCTCTCCTCCTTATCATTACCAAGAAGGGAAAAGACATGATGGAAAGGAAAACAGATGCAAGTCCAAAGCAAGAGACTTTTTTTTTTAAGCAAGATATCTTAATAGGGAAAAGGAAAGCTTAAAAATAAAGCGTTTAAGTGAAAACTGACTCCGTGTCTGCTTATAAAATGTGACGGGTCCCGTGCAAACCAACCAAAAATACTACCTGTATAAACCTCATACAAGGGTTCCCAAAATTAAACTCTATGGAGGTAGACAATGTCAGAAAGAACAAAATACAGACACCAAACAAGCGCCTGGGACTAACTGGCCCTTCCTGGATGGGAGGTAGGGAGTAGTACTCTTTGGGAATATGTGTGATCCTGGTCACAGTGAACCCCTCTCTGCAGGGTCAGCAGGTAGAAGTGCATGGAGAGAGAAATGGGGCTGGCAAGACACAAAAGCCTGTGAGTGGTTAAAGGTCAAGTCAATAGGGGTGGGTTTATAAAACTAAGTCCTATTCTGATAAAATGGGCAACATCTCCTGCCCCATCACTGACAAGCTGGCTAACTACAACCATATTCAGGCTTATGGACTACAATTTGGCCCACAGGAGTCAAGAGAGCCAGATACTACACACTGTGGCATGGCACCCATCTCCCACTTCAGTTTGGAAAAGCCACTTCGGGTCCTGACACCTGTTTCCTCATGTGCAGAATGAAGGCACAAGCCAAGCAGTTACTCTATTCTCAGCACTCGAGTTAGCTGGAAGAGTTTTAAAAGACACATAGGGCTTCCGGAGCCCCTGCCTGTTCTTTGAGTCTGTCCACAATTCTGCATTTTTCTTGCTTATGGAGAAGAAGTAGGTTTTCACCAAAGTTCCCAGCTGCACAGAATGATAGGAAAACCTGATTTTTTTTAAGTTTCCTGGACAGAGGTCATTAGGAAAGAATAAGTGATAGTGTTCTTGACAGGTTTCTTAACTTTGCATTCCCTGTAGTCAGCTGTATCTGTGTACCCCAAACAGGCAACGGTGGGAAGTGGGGGCTCCCCCACACATATTGGAACTGGGCTCATTCTCAGCAGGAATGTTGGCACAGATCGACTCTGACTCCCATCCTCGTTCTGAATAGGCTTCAAGATTGATATGAGGAGTATCCCTGGAAGAGCCACAATGTACCAGACCACGTTCACGGCAATGTGGCAGGGTGGGGAAATGGAATTTGGTGCTTTACAAGGGAAAGGATTTGTTATACAGGACAAAAAGAACATGAAAGGCCTTTCCCTGCCCTCTTTATTTAATGCTGTTGCTCCCTGAACAGTGTTTCTGAAGCTGAGTAAACTTTTTATTAATTAGTGAATTACATATATTAATAAGGGTAGATTCTTTCTCAGATACATGCTGCCTTTTTAAAAAACCAAAAATCTCTAGTAGAGAGTTCAGTAAACCGGTTGAAGATGCCTGCTTTTTGGAATGTATTTTCATTTCTTAAACCTCAAACAGACTGACTCTATGGCTTCCCCCTCCCCCTCATTTTTCACTGTTGTGCTTTCTGGCTAACTATGATGGAAACAGGAATGACAAAAATATGTGTCATTGGATATTTCTTGCCTTTCTGAAATGCCTAGAAAGAACAGGCCAAATCAATCTGTTTAGATTTCTACCTAAAAGTAAAAGGACCAAGAAATACAAGCAGTTCCTTTAATTTCAGTGATAACAGCAATTTCGAAACTCTGTCATAATCCTGATTATGAAAACCAACATGGCCACTAACAACCAGTCCCACCATGGCACACCTGTCCCTCTAGCCACATGAAACCACATGCCCTGCCTGGAATGTGCCTCTATGTCTTTGTAGGAGTGCTTTCATCTGCTTAAAATGCCTTTCCTCCCCCCTTGCTTACTTGATAAATTCATTTTTCCTGACCTATTTCTGCCACTTTCTCTGTGAAGCTAGGTTTCCAGACCCACCCTCCTCACAGGTCTCGCCTCGGATCCAACAAAACTCTCACACTGTTCTTGTTTAATAGTTGTCTTCTAAACAGAATTTGTGAGCAGAGAGACGTTATCTATCTACCTATCTGCCACACATAATGGAAGATTTTCCTCATTTGTTGGGTCATTGCACCTGAATATGCCACCTGTTCTGTGAGGTCTCTTGGAATCAGAGACTATGTTAGGGGAACAAGTGAGAGTTTGGAATACAGGATGATTGTGTTCAAGGTACGTGAACTTTGCCATAAGTAGCAGAATAACGTTGGGCTTCTCTTTCACTTATCTTTAGCTTAAATTTCCTCCTTTTTAATGAAGGGGAGGACTTCATCTAACACTAACTGCACTGTTCCTGGAGCACTTAAATACTTTTTCCATGACTGGGCTCTACCTCAAGAGATTCTGATTATTTTACTCTGGATTATTTTTAAAAGTTCCCAAGAACATTCTAATTTGTTGTTAGGGTTAGGAACTAGGAGATGAAGGAATCTTTAAGGGCAGTGCTCCC